TCTAGCACGAATACGTTTATACCTGTGATTGATGAACTCACACTGTTGTACAAGAATATGCACTTGGGGTATTGGGGTTTTGGTCTTGTGTGATTTGTTTTTATATATACTGTTTTGGGGTCTGCATCATCTTGTAGAAGGGCTATTCCTTTCTACTACTATACTATGCTCTCGTAGCTGCTTCTCTTTCTCTCTTTCTTTCTTCCCTCTTTTTTCAACACTCCCTGCATAGATCTGTGAACTCAAGTGACAAGAAAGACAACAAGAACAAGACACAGAAGAGCAATGATGATGATGATGCGCCGTGTGATGTGTGTGTTGGCCGTTGTGCTGTGCTGCACCTGCGGGTATACCATGGCTGCTGCTGCTACTACTACTGCTGGACAACCAAAGGCGGTGATGGCTACTTATGTTGGTGTTGGTAGCTGGGATGATTTTCTTGCAATAGGACGCTGTGATTCTTGGAATGGTGGTCAAAGTGAAAACACTGCTAATGGAGTAGATTGTGGGAAGTGGAAAAAAGATGGAAATCTTGATAAGGTAAACTACAATATTTCTAATTCGACGAAGGCAAAAAATCCTGAAAAGGAGCATGTTCCTGAACTTCCTCAACGTGCTGAAGAATTGCGTGAAGAACATGATGAAACAAGTGCCGAAGAAGATCCTCTACATCAGACCACATCACAAACCACGTCTACAGGCACCGTTTCAGGACATAAAGTGCCGGTGAGCAAACCAGCAGTGACACATCCCAGTGATTCTGAGAGTGGTGAAGCACAACCTGGTAGGAATGCAGAACGTGCGCCATTAGCATCAAGTACATCTGCAGAACCTCCTTCTTCCCCAACAGCTCCTGAAGATAGCAGCACAACCTCAGCAGCATCCACTAACGAGAGTACAGATAACAGTTTACCTGGCGATAATAATACTACTCAACAACCATCTTCTGAAGGTACGACTGCACCTAATTCTATTTCTGCTGCAGACTCACAGGAAACCACTATCAATAACGAGAGTACAGATAACAGTGCCTCTGGCACAGACATTGGTGCAGCTGCAATTTCAGACTCACAAGAAACCAATACCTCTACTATGCCGAGCCCCGAGAGCAATGTCAGTGAAGCACCAACCGCAACACCATCTCTTGTACCCAATTCAGAGATCAGCAGCACCGCTTCCACTGTACAGAATAAGGCTAATGTTGACAGCAGCAGTGTCAGTCCTGTGTGGATGCGCACTGCAGCACCGTTACTGATTGTGGCTGTGTTGTTCTCCATTACCGTGTACTGAACAGTGAGACTCATCTGAGGACAAATAATAATAATAGTGGTTAAGCTAACATAATCATAATTGCGTACATCCCCCATGGGTGAATGAATAAACTTATAATCTGTTTAACCAGCATTCTCTTTTAATTCGAATTTCTTTTCTTCTGCTTTTATGTGTGTGTGTTCTTTTTCTAATAATTCCATTACTTGCTTTTTCCGTTGTGTGTGTGTGCAGAAAACTGGGCTGTTCTGCTCACTGACGGTATACATCTCTTGCTAGTACACACAGATGAGTGTGTGCAGTAATTTAATATATATAAACTAGAGCCATGGGGTATTGTGTGTGTTTGGCTCCCTCTTATTTGGGTATTGTGGTGAGGATTTGTTTATAGTCTTTTCTATTAGGGGGTATATATTTTCATACAATCTGAATATTCCTTTTTGTTGGTTTTCTGTGTTGTTACTGCTTCTCTCTCTTTTCCAATGTGAGTATTCGTGTCCTGCATCCACTCACTATGTGTGTCTCTTTCTTTTCCTTCTT